TGGAAGGAGTCTGTTCCAGATTCCATTTGTCTTTTGCCGAAGCTCAGACTCTGGCACAGGATCGGGAACGATGGAAGCTCTGTCTGACGTGTCTGCCTCCGCGACCCGAAAGGAGCAGCGGCGATGGAAGGTGAATGAATGAATGACTTAACTCTTTTCCTTTCCTTCATTAGCTTTTCAGCTTTTGTTGACAGGTACGTTAGCATCTGGAGTACTGGGACATTTTCACTACTGGCAGTTATGTTAACCTTTCATGAAATCATTGTAAGTCAGATGCCCCATTGCTTGATTGAACACATTAAGAATTTTCTCTTGACACCTGTGTGTTACCGTGAAGATGCCGTATCAAACGTTGGCACCGTCTCCCACCATTTGGCATTAACTTGTAATACAATCGTCACGACAACTGAAACATCTAAATTCCTTTAGGTTGTTTCACGGTGTGCTTCCAACAGTTGCTTATGAATATGTAATTCAGTTGCAGTTGTAACTTGTAACTTGTTCCGTCCACTGTTTTTCACTGCGGGCTTTGCGGGATATGTGTATGGGAGCGTCGATTTCGCTTCAGGGTCGTCGTAGTTGCCGGACTGAATTTTTTCAGCAATGCTGAGGACCATCGACCTATTTTCGGTGGTTAATTTTGTTGGTAGGAACGCCTTTTCAATTGCGCCACTCATTTCATCGCTGCTGAATTTGCTTTAGCTTCTGTACCAACACTTTCAAGGTCATTCGATGGTATGTTACCAGGCAAATTTTCAGGCCCGTCGTACAGTGCGTTCTTTTCTTATTCATGTGTAATGCTTGTAAGCGCGTCGACGGATATAATTCGTTTTGAACGATTTCATGATCTTTATCCAGCACAGTCTTGGGCCAGTTGTCCCCCTTTTTCGCACTCTGAGCGCACACCACAACCACATGTTGCTTTCTCGGCCTTCGATCCGAATATCACATGCCAGTGCAATTTTCAACACTACAATATGATACTGCGGATTACAGTTTGACTCTTTGCAGGGGATATGCTGATCTGTGAATTCATTCGTACATTTTCAATGCCCACTGTTTTTTTTTTGAGGTCACCGGGCAATAAGAACCCCAGGTTTGGATTCAGAAACGTGACATTGCCTATTCTTACGTAAAATCGACCTGTTTGATTGACGGTCTTCTTCTGAATTGAGTTCCATGTGGCTTTAGAAATAGTCTTTGTGCACAGTTTCTCCAGTGACATCGTCATCATCCGTCCAAATTATAACAGTTGTGAATCTATCGACCTGTAGAAATGCCGGTTTGCATGGCTTGTTATGGCCAACAGTACTTCCAAAACCCTCATTTCTGTTGTTTGCATATAGGATCGAGTATATCAACCAAGCATAGACGAACAGATTTGCACTGAGACTCACCTCCATCACAACATGTAGAATTAGTTTCAGCATTACAATACTTGCCTGACCGATCTGTGTGTGTCTGTTTGTGCGTCTTGCTTGTCATCTTTCGCCATGTGATACTTGAACAAATTTCAGTTGAATTCCATGTACCTGCAAATTGTTGATTATAAAGCATAATTTGCGACTTTAATCACTTTTCAGTCATCTGCAACCGTAGCAACACATTTTTTTGTACAGTTGCCAATATTTGGAGTTCTTGCCACAACGCTTACTGTTGATCGTTTAGACGACGGACAGGTTACTCATAAGTTGAACAGTGTGACAGCTACTTTCGGTCTTGTCATTCATTCAGCCGGTAAGTGATTGTCTTTGCTTCATTTTCGTTGCCAGTAGCAATCACGATTGCAGCTGACGGTATTGCGTTGGGTGCAGCCTGTTCTTCAAAAATGGAGGTTTCGATCATCGTGTTTCTAGCCATCATGTTGCATAAGGTGGTTACTGTATTCCCATATCGTTATGACTAAAAAGTTAAGTGTTTTTTATAGGGACCAGCCGCATTTGGATTGGTCAGCTTCTTGTTACACGAGTGTATTGACAAGAGCCGCATACGTCGATATTTGCTACTCTTTAGTCTGTCGGCTCCTTTCTTTTCATTGTCAACATTTGGATTTCTCTTTCACGTAAGTAACTTTTGCTTTATGCTATTGTGGCAGCCGTTAATTTTGTACATCAGCCAAAAATTGAAGGAAAGTTGATTTTTCTTTTAATTGTACATAAGTTTATGTGTATCTTTACTATTCATATATTTTTTTGTTTTTAAATGAAGTTTTGTACTACATACGAGTCTCTTAACCACTGTCAAGGAAAGAAACTTAAGCCTGTAAATATGCGAAATATTCTCTCGCCAAGTGACCATTTGAACTGAATTGGTTCTATGCTAAAGTAGCAATACTCACGCCTCAGTTCGGTACCTGTAAGTTTAATGAGCCGTTATCTCAGCACTGTATTTAATACTGATTCTGGCAGTAGCGAATAACGGACATTTAGTCTTTGACAATGTGTGATAAAACATGACAGTTTTTTCTGCTATTCTCGTTCATCCGTACTTGATTAACTCAGGAGAAATTCGATCGACCT